GTTGAGTTGCATTGCTCCTGATCTTGGAGGTGATCCTTGAATATTAACCAGCTTTCTTGGGCCTCTCTTCCCTCCAAGCTTTATCCCATGGTACTCTGCCAAGCAGATCCCTGAAGAATGAATCTGTCATGCTAATTGATGCTGCTTACCAGCAGTTTCCAGTGTACCCAGTAAGGGCAGCCAGTCTGTCCTGACCACCCCCACTCTTCTTAGACACCTATAAATGTCTTTAGAAATGCAGAGAGAGAGGAAAGCGTAATTATTTCCTTTTACTCAAAAAAAACCAAAAAGCCACCTCTTATGTCTCTTGCCAGAATAGTGGGGCATTCCAAGTCTCCTTTGTGGTGTGTGAAGCTTTTATCGCCTTGGAAACTTAGGTAATCTCTTCTCTGTGATGCTGTAGAGTATGTTTTCCTTGAGCCGCCAAAAAGAAAGGTTTGAGAGCTCCAAATTACCTTTCATCTGTAGTGCAACATCGGTATGTTGCCTTTGACTGCTTCCAGCATACTTGAGATATGTGGGCTAGATCTGGCTAGGCGTCGTCTTTAACTAATTTTTTAGTTAGAAAAGGCAGAAGTTAGTTTTTGACAGGAAGGTTTCGTAGGTCTGAGGGGGACAAAACAATAAGACGGAATGTGTTGCCAAACAACCAAAACTCATTGATTGTGATTACTTTTTCTCATCCTCATCAGTAAAATGGGGAACTTGCGTCACCTGCGTTCTTGGTGAGCGCCAGGTTAGATCTCTCTTCCTGTATGTTTCATGTATTCTGTTGATTCAGGTTTCATACTAATACAGAATGGGAAAACTTCTAGAGATCTTAACACGTTTGAGGGCAAAAGAACTGTTTAGCACTAATGTGTACTTTCCTGTTTCTGACAGCATACATAACAACTATATCAACTTCCACCACACCTTTTTCCTTCCTATCTAAAGCAATGCATTTTTATTGCACTCACCTTTGTTTAAATTTTTAAAAGACTTGAACCCAGCTTTTATAATAAGTATACAGGATGTATTCTTTCCAAGCACTCAGGAAGGGATCTTCTTTTTCTTTTTATGGTTAGTATTTGATAGGAAGGGCATTGCCTGCAAGACAGGTATTTTAGGGATAACATTTTCAGCATAAACATAATTTAAGCTGAAAAGTTCAAAGAAACTTTTGCACCTAAAACAAAACAACCAAGAAAGCCACAAAATACGGAAAGGGAGAACGAGTATGTAACATAAAAAATGTTCTATTGAAATGTTATATTGAAAGAAATTTCCCTAAACCAGAAATTGGTTTTTATTTTTATTCTGGGATAGAGATGTCAAGTAAAGAGCAAAGGGTAGGGAAAATAAGAGTAAGAACAGCATTTTCACTGCTGTGTGTTTTCTTCAAATATAAGGAAAAAAACATAGGAAACATAAAATAGGCTGAAATGCTCAAAATGAGTTTTTGGGGGGAAATGAAAGGAAAACTGTTGTGTATGGAAAGCAAAAGGGTTATTTCAGCTGGGAACCTGAAGGCAGATTGCATCCTTAAAAGAGATGGATAGCACTATATTTCTTCTAAGAAATTTACATCTAAAATAAACAAATAAAATGAGTAACAGCAATTGGATTTTGTGATGCTGCTCTGAAAATGAAATGTGGCTGGGAATTGAAGTAATTTTGTGTTATCATGCAGGCAGAGCCTCTTCGTGCGTGACTTTCTGAAGGTAGAATTTCTCTTGTCATTGTGCTAGGGAAATAAGGTTGTATGACCTGTGTGCTCAGTGACTGATCCTCACTACAATTTTATTTTTGAATAAATTGACTGCCTTTGAGGTGAGGGGAGAGAATGACTTAAGAAGTGAGGAACAGCTTGGGATGAGTGTGGCAGAGAATAATTTTTTGTGCTTTTCTATTTAATTTCTATAGGGAACTTTGTAGCTGCAAACTTTTGTTTGAGCGAAGAGAACTTGCTGTAGCAGATGAGGGAATCAACGGTATCCATTTTGGATCCTGCATGGGATCTTGCAGGACCATATGCAAAATCCTGTTAAGGACAACATGCTCCAGTCTGGCTTGTGAGTCTGTAGGAGGAAGTGTTATAGATCTTAGTGAAATGAGGCAGAAATTTCTTTAACCATTACAAATCTGCTGTTGACTCCCCTTTCTTATGTGAATGTGCACTCAGAATTTTGTGTCTACATGCAGAAATCCCGTGTCTGCCTGTTTCTATTTGATAGCTTGCAAGTTTTGCAATCGTAAGAGCCATGTTAACCACCTGAACGATATGCAGAAGTAGCAAACTCTGGTTTGTAAGCAGTTCAAGCTGCCCCTGCTGGTTCTTGCACTACAAAATACTGCACAGTTTTGTTTACTGTCTATACTTTCGCTACACAGTACTCTAGTTATACAAACCCATTAAACTGCCATCAGATATTGTCTGGTCTGTTACATTTGCTTATTACCTTTTATATCGAGAGGTCAGGGTTTGCTGGTTTTCTTGTGAGAGGGATTTTCCTGCTTTGAGTGACCCTATGCAGGAAATTCTGGCATTTGTACTTTTAGTCTTTTTTTAATCTTACTTTGCTCACAAGACTCCTCTTTCTACTCTATTCCCAGCTCCTAGTTTCAACTGCTGGAATTTTTTCCTTTGGTGAGTCAGAAATATAGGCTGTTTCCAAGCAGCACGCATTTTATTCTCAAGGCTTTGGCATTGCAACACTTTTGACACTGCATCAGAGTTAGATTTTAAATTTTTTTTAATAGGTCAGAGTTGGGGAGTGGAGGAAGCTTTTATATTAAGTCAAGTTCTTTACAGCTAGAGAACATACAATACATACAGAGAAGTGGATCATAGAAGCTTGTTTCACTTCCTATCATGCAGTTTCCAAAATGCCTGAGTATGCATAGAAGTGGGTTATCTTCTTAAAATAGTCCTAACCTTAAAATAGTCCTCATTTTGCATGCAGCTGAGAAGTCTTTCTGACTGCACGTCTGTCCATGCAGCTATTGTGAGTTTTGCAGTAGGAGGTGCACAGCTGGTGCTGGTACTGCTCTCCTCAGCCCCTCTCCCTTCGCACAGGGCACTGCAGCATGTGCTATGGGATGAGCAAGAGGATAGTGCTGCTGTTGTAAAAGTGGGTTCATCATTACCACTTTCATATTTGGCAATTAATTCTGTATAACAGTAAACTTTTTGAATCTGGCCTTTTGGAAGGATGCCAGGAGGTCGCAGCTGGGATGTCTGATGAGGATCCTGAAGTGGTGGAGTATTAATATTCATTAGGTGAGGTTTGGTTGTGGCTCAGTGGGTTCTTTCCTCTGATCTACACTGATTTATCGTGCAAAACAAATATGTCTCAGCTCACTCAGCATCATATCTTGATTTCTAAGTTGCCTTTTTTGCCCCTTTTTTGAGTAAGGTAGTATTTTTAGTATGAGGAGTATAGATTTGCATTACAGTACTTTGTATTGCTCTCTCCTTTACAGTCTTTTCTTTCCCATCACCACAGCTTATAAAGCCAGAGTTAGCGGATATGCTTACCAAGAATTTAAGTGAGGTATAAGTAAGGAGAATAGAGGGAAGGCAGTGTGATTGCATTACTTTCTCCATTTGGTCATTAGTGGAAAGACAGTTCATTTCTGACAGTACCTAAAGAAGGAAAGAGTATTACAGACGTGGTGGTGTAGGAGTACCAAGAGAGTGAGATTTATATAGGAAAGGGATATATTTCATTAAAGCAATTAACAGAATTAGAAAATACAGACCACCTTTTTGGAGGTGTTCTTCAGCAGTGGTGTTTTCAATAGGAGGCATATATGGCAAGCAGTTTTGCATGTTAATTACAGTATGATGGATACTGGGTTTGGTGTCTTAAAGGATTCTTTTAATATTTTTCAAGATTTCTTATCCTGAAATCTCAAGCCGTTGTATGGATAATTAAGTAATACTGAACTGAAACAACTAGTGGCAAATAAACATCAATTTTTGTGAGATGCTTCTGGATCATGTAATCTTTCTTATAGTGAGAGTGGAAGGTCTGAGTTCTCCACCCATACGTTGCAGAAACCACCATGAATGCAGAACTTCACACACATGTACCAGTCAGCCAATATCCTGCATAATCTGTTGGAAATGTGAAAGAAACGTGCCTTTGTAATGTCGTCTCTGTTTATTTTGATTTTTATATTTTAAATTCATGTTTTGTCAAATTTTAATAGCTTTTTTTACAGAGCCCTATTGTTACAGTAACTTGTGAAATATGTTCTTGTCCCATCAGTACACGATATAGGGTGACAAACATCACAAAAATGCTAAAGACTAATAGAGTAATGTTGCATGTTACCTTTGGTATTCAGTTTAAGCTGATATAACGACACAGACAAGAAAATCTTGACTGCAGTGTTAATGTCTTTTGCTGGAGTTGGCAATTTCTTAATAAGAAACTGAATTGTTTACTGTAATAAGAACATTTGAATTCAGTTATTATCTTCTCTTATGTACAAACCAGCACTATAAATGTGAATGTGCCTTTCTCCTTGGGCTGCTAAGCAATCACTTGCCTTTTTCCTGGGGAGCAAGAGTTTAAACAAAAAATAAGTCTTTGTTCACTCAAAGCCAGTTTGTGCCATGTGTGACTTTTTATTAATTACTAAGGCTTTTTAAAGGAGGAGATATGGAAGATAACACGACTTATTAAGCTGGTGTTTCACAGTATTTGGTGGTTTGGTGACACACCAGTGGTCTGGTGTTTGTAGCTGTTACATGTGAAATGTCTTTAAAATAAAGTTTTGGATGTATTCAATGCCTTGGTCTGAATATCTGCAGATAAGGTCTGAGCACTGGACCCCTAAATTTTAACTGTAGCTTTGATGTTCTCCCTTCTAAAAACTGGGGTTTGATTTTTGTCTCCAATTCCGTATGTCTAAAGTGGGGGGAGATAGTCATTGAAGTTTATCAAGTTCTTTGAATATAACAAAACTCTGTTATAAATGCTGAGTATTGTCTGACTCTTTCTACACAGTGTTGACAATTTTGGACTTGGTCTTCTGCTTCAGACTAAGCAGATAAAACGCATGGTGTCATCGTATGTTGGAGAGAACGCTGAATTTGAACGCCAGTATTTATCTGGTGAGCTTGAAGTTGAGCTTACACCTCAGGTAAGGAGTGTCTCTAAGAGACTGGTGATTTCTTTTCATTTAGAATACTGAGTAGGATAACGCTTAAGTGCTCTTATAAAAATATTTTGCAAATGTTTTGCCCGTGTGCAGATGTGCAGTGAAGACAGATGGCACATGCCATCTTAGGATCATGGGCTGTCACTGCAACTGGTCTGTTAACTGACTGGTTGTGTTGTGTGAATTCCTTTTATGGCTTATTACATTATATTCATATAATATATATGTTTATTTTATTGTATGATGTTTGTTTTTTGGTAGTTCCTCACAATTCTAGAAAAACACATGAAGTATGCTTACTACTGTGGTCCATATAAGGGGAAAGAAGTCGGGAGGGTTGCTGGATTCCTGTATTGGTGGCAGCTCCTGTGTGCTTTTGGGGATGTTGCGTGGGCAGTGTCTGCCACCTAGTGGGTAGGAATCAAATTATGAGATTTCAGTTCATTGTGAGACATAACTCTTTTGGGTTTGTTCATTAAATCTTAACTGAATTAATCTCTGCATAGTGTTATGAGCCAGTATTTACAACTTTGCTTTTTAGCACAATAGTTTTAACTAATTCAGCACCACGAAGCTACCCATAGCCTGAATGCAATGAGATCCTAAAATCGTGTGTCAGTCACATTATATTGAGATCTAGTTTTGTGAAATTAGTACTCTTAACTTCAAAGCCTGCAGCATCTTAGTGTCTGGTATTTCCAAAGGTGACACATAACCTTTGGTCTTTAAACAGCTACTGATTTAAGTCTCTGGGAAAAATAACAGTCTTAAATTTTTGTGGAGAAGAGAGTCTTGGGCTCAATCTCCTGGGAATGTCTCTTAGAATCCCAGAGATGGGCAGAAAAGCTCCTTTTATACCCAGTCAGCTGACATGGAAATAACCAGGCACTTGTCACTTTTCATGTTTTAAAAGTCGCAAATCTCATCTTGCTGTCACCTCACAATTTGTTTTTTCTTTCCTCCTACTTAATGTTCAATGGTTTCATCTAGAAGAACTTGAATTTCTTAGACATGTAATTGTCTTTATGGACTGCACAGACAAGCTGCCTAAATCCAGCATGAAAATTATGGGTATACAGTGTGCAATGCTAAACAATAAGGTGAATTAATGACTTGCTAGGAGCTGCGGGAATTTTAAGTATTTGTGTCAAGATAAACTAGCCTTTTGGAAAATGCTCTTCAAGTTTGGTATGACTTTAGGCAAAATGGGGAACTGTTGTGTCCTTGTTACATACAGTAAGTGAGAGGTCATGGTGAGGTGCTTGGCACACCGGACTTCATATCATTGCATGGTTTGCATCTGCCTCTTGCCACCGTTTTGTGAAACTACCAGAAGCTACTGTGTTTCTTGAAGGATAATTGGGGAAAATGCAACCTATGTTTTGGAGGCCGTCAAGGTAGATAATTGACCATGACGGTCTTGTCTTGCTTTGAATACAGAAAAACATATTAAAAAAAATTGGGGTAGTAATGAAAAACAGACAGACATGTCTTTGGCAGTAAATCTGTAGTTAGTGCTGATGAGGAGTTTGGGCTGTTAATATCTGTGGTACAGCTGGATATAGAGCAGAACGCAGATGGGGTCAAATAGAGTAGAAATGCTGTTCTGTCAGCTTCTTGGTAATCTTAGCATGGGCATCCCAGATCACTGGACTTCCTCTTCCGTTCTCGATATGCTATGCATGACTCTTTCAACTTGGAGTAAGGTATGAAGTTTTTCTCAAAGTGTTGGAGAATGAAACATATGTATGTAGGACTGTTATAAACGAGAAACCTTCCAGCATATGTAGCCAAGTGGGAAAGAGAAAAAGAACATGGTACTCTTCTCAGAGTAATGGATTGGGAAACAGGCTGAAGGAGAGGAGGCACAGCAAAGTGCTGGGGCTTGGGAGTTGACTAGGAGTTGTGTGAGGGTGTGCTCTTGAGCAATTCATGGCCATATGTAAGGTACTTCTTGCCATATCCAGTACCAGTCCCACAAAGGGGACATAAAATGGGAGGAAGAAATGTGATGGTCTGCTGAGTTCAGAAGGAAAAGCTCCAAATGACAGGATATAACAATAAGTTCTTGCAAGCCATTGATCAAAGTTGGATTTGTTCTTCCCAAATGACTAGTTCTTAAATGTGTTTTTCCCATAGGGTACGCTTGCCGAACGTATTAGAGCAGGAGGAGCAGGAATCCCAGCATTTTACACCAGTACTGGCTATGGAACGCTCGTGCAGGAAGGGGGTGCACCTATCAAATACAATAAAGATGGCACCATTGCCATTGCTAGCCAGCCAAGAGAGGTAAGATGTCAATTTGTTATTAGGAAGCCTTCTGGTTTGAAAACAGGATTTATTTCACGTTTCAAAGCTAAACAGTAGTTTAAGCATCTCCTGACCGAGTTTAACCTTGGTATATTGGATTAAGAGGATGGCTCTGGTACTAGACACATTAGTTTTCCTCACACTGCTCACTTCTGTCCTCTGTGATGTGTTAGAATAGTTTTTACAGCTTTAGGGTGACTTAGCATCAAGAACTGGTCAAGTGAAAACCTGTCTTGCTGAGTCACTCTTCACTTGACAGTTCTCCGACCAAGTTTGCTGTGTATTGAAACAAAATCTTATACCAGGGCACTGCAGTGCACAGTACAGATTCAGAACAACCTCCTGTTAGTGGAGCAGGTGCTCCTTAAATACTGTAGTATGGAGCAACCAGCCCTCGAGCTGTACATGAAGCTTCAGCATTAGAAGGGATGGGACATTTTCCCGTTAAACAGGGAAGAGCTCAGTTGACACAAACTTTTCATTTGCCAACAGTTGAGATGCAATTCAGTCTGAGTATTTGAAATTGCAAAGAATTAAGTGTAGCTTCCAGGTGAGAAACAAGGGCTTCACATTGAAATTGGATGTAGAATCTGGAGAAGGGAAGAGACTTCTCAGTGCCATAACTGTACTTGAGGAAATGGATGGGGTTAATGCTGTATGTCCCAATTAGGCTGCAAACGGCATTAAATTCTACCTCAAGAATGTCCCTGGGGTAAAGGTAATTTTCCCCCCTCTATGTTTTTGTGCATTTCATACATGGCTATTTTCAGTATATAATCATTAACCTTGGTTTTTTTTTTTCCCCCTTAATTTTCTTACTGAGTATGTTATTATGATTTTTTACCATTTGAAGGAATATTTTGTTTATTAAATAGCTTATAATTTTGATAACATTTTTCTACTTTTAACATTTGTGGACAAGTCTCTCTTATTCTCCTCAGTCTTCTGGGGGGATAGTAACACAGCTAGCATGATGTGATCAAACCCATTCTGCAAATCCATTTTGAATGTGTCATTTTGTAAAAGCTCAGATCTCCTTTTACAGGACCGAAAAACTGACTTCTGATACACTTTTGTGATACTTCCTCCCCCTCTTAGAAATTTTAAATAGCTCTCAAGTAGTATTTTTGTATACTCTAACCTTCTACATTGTTAAGAGAAATGCTGTTTCATGTTTCTACATAGGATTAAAATATGAGCTGTTTGTCAGTTACATATTCTGGCTTCAGGCACAGTATCATTACAAATATTGATCATGATGCAAAGAAAACAAAATGATATTCAAACTATCAGATGAAGTGATTTGAGTTCCCTGTCTCAAATCTGCTTCATTTTAGATTTGGGGTTTTTGGTGGTGGGCAGTGATTATGAATTCATTCATCAGTTCCTTTACAGAATCACAGAATCACAGAATTTTCAGAGTTGGAAGGACCTCTAGAGATCATCTAGTCCAACTCCCCTGCCAAAGCAGGATTGCCCAGAGCACATTACTCAGGACTGCATCCAGGCGGGTCTTGAAAATCTCCAGAGAAGGGGACTCCACAGCCTCCCTGGGCAGCCTGTGCCACTGCTCTGTCACCCGAACTGTAAAGAAGTTTTTTCGTGTGTTGGAACGGAACTTCCTATGTTCCAACTTGCACCCATTGCCCCTCGTCCTGTCACTGGGAACCACCGAGAAGAGTGTGGCTCCCTCCTCCTTCAACCTACCGTTTAGATATTTGTAAGTAGTAATAAGGTCTCCCCTCAGCCTTCTTTTCTCCAGGCTAAAGAGTCCCAGCTCTCTCAGCCTTTCTTCATAAGGGAGATGCTCCAATCCCTCAATCATTTAGCACTTCAGTTTTTGGTGAGCTGGTAGCTGTGTAGAAAAAAGCATGTCTAATTCCAGTAGGTGGAGCAGCAGAAAAAAAAATTCTCATTCTGTTTCACTAAACAGACGCTATGATAAAACTGGGGTTTACAGCCTTTCCGTGCTTCTCTGTTATTATACAATTGAGCTACAGTTTTTCAGAAAAAACTTCATGTAGTACAAAAAGAAGTCTAAATATAACAGACTAATATAACAGTAAAATTAACCACATAAAATAAGTATTTCATCGGAGATCTGTTGGAAGAAACATCTCAATAGTGTACTTTTCTCTGTAGGTGCGAGAGTTTGATGGCCGTCACTTTATTCTGGAGAAGTCGATTACAGGAGATTTTGCTCTTGTGAAGGCATGGAAGGCTGATCGTGCAGGAAACATAATTTTCAGGTATGACTTGTTTACCAGTGGGAAAAGATTCTTTAATGGCTTAGATAATGAAAGAGAAAGAGAATCCTGTCCCCTGTGTGATGGCAAAATAATGTTTTACTGATTTCACTTTCTTTCATGTTGCATTTCCCTACTGTCAAATTATACTGCTATAAAAAACAAAATATAATTGCTTTTCTAATGACTTTTGAGAATTCAAACATAGCTGTGAAATAAAACATTAGTAGTTAAAAATGAGACATGGCAGAAAGTCATTATGATGGCTGTCGATAAATATAGTCACATTCTGTTCACTTTAATTTTCATGTTAGTTTGGGTCCTTGTCCTTGTGTGGTTGAAGGCTGACCCAAGAAATGCATGTTCATGTATGTCAGAAGCGAAGGGAGCTGAGTCAGTTTCCTGGCCAGTCAGGGATGGGAGAACTTGATTCTATCCCCAGAAAAGTATGTTTAAAGTTGATTTGGCCTCAGTGGTGTCGGGAGAGGCATCATATGAATTTAAACATCTTTTATAGTGAAAAGTTTGGGTGTTGCACTAATGATGACATCATTTATTTGAGTTGCTCTGGTTTGTCCTGAACTGAAGGAGGAGAGTTTTGCGTATGTTTAATGTCTGGTTTTTATTTGTTTATTTTGTGGCTGTCAGATGAAAAGGTAAGTGTTATGGTAATCGGTTGCAGTTTACTTCAAGAAGATGCTGAATGATGCAGTCTGTCTTTGTATGTATTGAAACAAAGAAAGAGCAGCTGAAAAATATGCAGATAAAATAATACTGATAAAGTAATGCTTTATTGTGTGTATATGTATATATACACATGTATTCACACAATTTTTTTATCTATATATCTTCTAGATCTAATAATAATACTAAAATACTTGAAAGTTTAAAAGTTAAAAAAAGTTAAAAAAAAAAAATTATTTTACCCAACTCCTGACGTCCTGGTTTGCCCACTGGCAAGACAAGATGGTTTATATTTGAAAACTGAACTTTCATGTGTGTGCACATGAATTTGATGACTGCTAGACTGCTTTTCTTAGGCTCTGGAACATGGAATACAGGAAACCATCTTCCCCCTTGGACTTGTTTTTGTTTGATCTTGAGCCTCTACTGTCTGTGCTTTTACCCTGTATCTATCTACTGATGCTTACTTACCTCTGAAAAATTCCTTCATTCTCCACAGAAGCAGACTGGTTACGTTCTCCCTTTCCCCCCTCCTCTTCCTTTATGTCCTGTGATCTCTCTTTATGCCTTTCCTTCTCCCTCCTGTTCCTTGGAGAAGTCTTCATATGTCTCCCACATCCACACAGTGTGGTTGATACCAGATACTATTTCCATCTGGAGTGGAGGTCTAAAAATTTTGACTTCCCCTTTCAAGTGTGACTAATCAAAGACAGAAACATCGTCATCCCGTGTCTTTTTCCATGTAGAGTATTGCTGGCTTAAAAGAATTTGCTCATAAAAGCAGTGACCCTTTCGGGTTTTGGATGAGACACAGATTACCTTGTGGTCTACAACAGGGAAACGTAGGCCCATCTCAGAGCCTGTGGGAGACAACAAACGAGGAAATTGAGATTAGAACATAACAATGTTCTGTGATCTACAGGATGAAAAGGAAAATGTTTTTTTGACGTCATGCTACATACTGAGTATGTATTCACTGCCAGTGGGACCCTTCCATACTTTTTTTATTATGTGATTTCTGGTTTTGTTTCCTGAGGTATGCCTGGATAAACATAGGCTCTGTGTTTACTCACATTTGCCACCACTTCCACAGTAGTGTGCACTATTCATGGTGTTTCCCATGAGTCTGGTATCTGTGGAGCCAACAGGAATGGAGTAAGTGTCTGCCAAACTGTTAATCACCCTCACGCTAAGACCTTTTTTAAATCTGTAGGTGTATTTTAGGTAGACTTATTTGGACCACGCACCAGCATTTTTTTTTTGTCTGTCCTCATATACGAATCTCTACTGTATCTTAGGGATCCGGAAGGGCACCAGCTCATTTAGAAAGCATTTTTTTTAATAGGATTTTATTCATGATACTTCGTGTCCCCTAGTGCTTTTGTTCCATACAGCATGCTGTGGCTGCTTTCCTTCCAGGGATCTTTATGCTGACTGGACGATTTGGCACCACAGCTTTTGCCTAATAAGACCTGTGTCTTGCCCAGTAGATAGTAATTCTTAGGTATAGTACACCATTACCAAGACAAATAATCTCAGACTCTGTCATATATAATGAAATAATCCTACCTTGTTCCTCTGCTACCTGAAAGGATGCATATATGAGCATTTTGCTTTGTTAGTCTGATGCAGGTACTAGTTGTACTTAGCAGAACAAAGAGTCTCCAGGTCTTAAGCTCCCTCGGAGCTTTGCTTGTTACGGACAACAGCAGAGAGTACCAATACTTTTTGTGGGTATTCTACCTCCTTTGGCTCCCCTCCCTTTTCATCTGGTACCATTCTGCTTTGGAGTTGTTCTAGCCCAATATACTGTCACTTTACAAGCAGAGGTGTGGTTTGGTGCTGAAGAAAGTACACTCTTGACAGAAGAGATAATCTGAATCAGGGCCCCTGCTGTCACATACAGTCATGTCAGGTAATCTCTTCATGCTTCAAGTGGTTCTGCAATATGTAAATGCAGATCATATCTGAGGTGTCCCTTCATCTCTGTACCATTAGGTACGTAGTGGATGTAGTTCATTGGTTTAGTTGTCTATGACCTAGTCTGTTATCTTTTGCCTTTGGGAGCAAAGCTGTTGTCATGCCTTTGGGTCAGCTTAGGAATCCATCACTAGAACAATGGACTTTGTGGACGTTGCTTAGTCTAGATGTCCAGAAAGCTATCTTAAAGTAAAAAGGCAAACTTGGCTAGCTATTTTCTGGATTCCGTACTCCAAAAACCTGAACATTATTCTGTGTTGGAAAATAAATATAATATGGTTTCTGTTTTTTCTTCTTCTGGATGATGAGTTCTTTAGAAATAAGACCTTTGATGTTGTAAAAGACTGCTGCTTCTGAAACAACTTTACTAACCCGAGAACATTCTAAATTGCATAAGCTTTTATAAACAGGGTCAGAATTTCCTTAATTTGACATTGAAATGTTTTCTTCTAATGCTTTCCTATGTAAAAATAATTTTATATCAGTTTTGTTTTCTGGCACACCAGCGGCTACAATCTTGAGAAAGTATTTGCCTCAGAAAAGTTGTCAGTTGGGATGAAATACTGAATTCTTTGTTTCCACATCTGCCTTGGCCCATCTGTATCCGTTACCCTGCTGTCTGAATTCAGCTTTTGTAACTCTGTTTTTCTTCTCATTTTCTACTCTACCTAGTTTAGGGTAGTTTTCCCTGAATCACTACTAGCTAGTACTGTGTTCATGCACTTGGCCAAGAATATGAATTCAGATTTTTTTTTTTTTTTTTTCTCATGCTGTCCTCTTCTTACATACTTTTGTGTTTACACAGCCACAGAGGAGACCCACGGACAAAAGATATTGTCTCTTCTTCTGTTAGAGGCTGCACAGCTGCTGTGTATTGCCAATAAAACAAAATTTCCCCAAAATATGTCACTTTGGGTATAGCTTTGATTCTGTAGGTTTTCGCACTAGAAATCCTGTTAAAACTGCATGGTAATCTCAGATTTGACCATTTCAATTTCCTACCTCCCCCAAAGCCACTAGGTGGCAGCAGCATCCCAAAGTTCAGCATGGCTACAGCGCTAGGCATGGTTATCGCAAAAAAGGGTGACGAAAGGAAGCAGCATTGTGAAATAAGGATGGTCAGAAAAAAAATGCGTCTGTGGAAAGGGGACGGGGGGAAAGGAGGTTTTGACTTGTTTTGAACCCTAGTTTCATGTATGTTGATGAAAATTTTTCAAGAATTCTACTTTTTAAAAGAGCAAAATGCTGAGGCGCTATCAGTGGAGCCCCACTAAAGTGTACATTGTTTCTCTTAAATATTATGCCATGCAGTTTTGTTTGCTTTCTAAAAAATACAGACAGGGACTGACGCAGGTCCCTTGTTTTTCCTTGTGCCTACTAGAATCTGGGTGCAGATCCCAGCATGGTTATGCATACTTTTATTCCCTAGTGATTCTTTTTTCTTGTTACAGAAATACTGCATGGGAATACTTAGGATGAATGCCAGAGTCTTGCAGTGGGTGCCAGAACTGGCACAGCTTTTTTAATCAAGAGAATTGGATTAAATTTACTACTGTGCAAAGTGTTAGCAAAGTGTTAGTTCTGAATTATGAAGGCATATGTGGGACCTGAGAGGTTGTTAGGCTTGTGCTGATCCCCCTGTGGAGATTAATTTTATTCTTTGTGCAGTGAAATAATGGGAAGGTACATTGTAGAAAGCCCAGCTTGCTGCTGCTCTTGGATGTAATAAATGAAGATATCAGTAGCATACCCAATTTCAATTAAACAATGTGCTGATTAAAAGTCAAAAGAGCTGTAATAAGTATTTTCTAATGTAGCAAAATATGATTTAATTTCATATGCATCTAGCACAATTCCGTAGTACTTTTTCTTCCCTCCTATTTTTTATTAATCCTCTAGCTACTTGGCAAAAAGATTTGTGATGTTTATGTTACAGAGATACTTGTAGTAGCTCATCTCTGAAAAATCTTTCCTCATACTATTACAGCTTTTAATATTTATTAATTTTATTTTCTTTCACAGGAAAACTGCAAGAAACTTCAACCAACCTATGTGCAAAGCTGCCAAGACAACTGTGGTAGAGGTAGGGAATTGAAACATAGTAAGCCCTACACCCCGTGTAGTCAACAAACCCCTTTGTTTTGCATGGTACAGAGTTTTCCTTTTCTTGACTTATTGGGGGGATTTCATACCAGGGACCAGTGGTCTAACCTGTCTCTTTGGATTGCCTACTCTTAACTCTATGCTCTGTTTTAGTGATTAGTTCACCGTGGTTACTCAGTTTATTACTGTTCATCTGATCCTGGACAGGGCTTCATGTTCACTGCGATCAGGCTTTGAAAGGGAAACATGGCAACAGTCTTCAGATTTGTTAAATAAAATATGGATGAAGGAAGAAATGGTAGGCTTAGGCTGTGCTTGAGAAGGTTCATGTAAGACCTCATGCAAAACTTCCTGATAATAAGGATAAATGCATAATAACATAGACTGGGCAAATTGTCGAGCTGTCATGGTTATGATCTCTGAAATTTAATAAATTACATAAATATCAGTCCAAAATGAGATACAGACATTTGGTTATGCCTTGAGAAAGAGGATGGACTATGTGATGTAGGAGTTTCTTTCAATCTTTTTGTCCTTTTTCCTTGTCTAAAACGATAACGTTTAAAAACATGGAGCAGCCTACACTGGAAATATATTGGTGACTGGAGAGTTGCTAAGGCATAGCAATATCTAAAAACAGACTACTATATTAGCTTTTTCGTTGCTCTGTGGTAAGTTTTTTTTATATACCTAACAGAAGCTAAATATGGTTGGACAGTAAGATCAAGATACACTCTTCTAGGCTATTTCTAGTAAATTCTAAATGGAAGAAGCTTGTGTTTCTTCAGGATTTTTGTTTTGGTTTGTTTTTTTGTTTGGAGCTTGGGTTTTCTTTTGAATTTTGGGGTTTTTTTTTGGTAAAATCTTATCTGGAAAATATATTTGTTATATAATACATTTGTGAACTTGAGTTATTTCTTTGTGTATTACAGAACTATGGCAAAAAATACCATAGAATTTGTCATACAACTTACAGTGACAGTTCAGCAACAGTACATGAACTTTCATAGTTGATTTTCATGAAAGGTTTAAAATATTTTTCCATTTAAAAATGAAATAAAGAATCTTTCATCATTCCCCTTCCTTCCAGTCACTTGCCCTTCATACTTTGTTCAGTCTGTCATTTAGAGAATTTAAGTAGATCAAAGCCTTCCACCTACCTTCCATCTCATTCTCTCTTTCTGCTCTTCTATCCATGTGTAGTAGGGTAGAATTTTCCTGTCAGTGAGCAGCAATTATGTGATATCCTTCTTGCTATATAATTCCACTTAATGGTCTTTAGTAGATCTGCTGTGAACTGTGTCCATCGTGAGTCTTGTTGCATTTTCAATACCATTTAAAAACTGACAAGCTTTTGGCAAGATGGCACATTAGTATTACTTTACAACTCTAGTTTTTTATGGACAAATTAATGGGGGAAGGGACATAATGAAAGGTTTAGGACAGATGGATATTTTGAGCCAAATGCAATGGCTCATTGGCTTAACTTTTATGTGTCTTTCTTCCAAAGTGGAATTCAGAATGTTGTATTTGGATTTAAGAGTTCAAACTCAGTGAATTGGAAGGAGTTATCTCAATATGGCATCTAGTACATCCTTAGTAATGAGCCTGAAGGTGTCTAGAGCTCATCACTAGGGAACTGAGGCAACTGAAAAGAGTTTTGCCTGACTCCTTAGTTTACGTTGTTCAGGGCTGAAGGGTGAAATTCTCAATCCTACTTACAGAGAGAAGAAAAAAGTTTGTGTAGAGTAGTAATTCGGATACTCTCTCAGCAACAGGGATTTCTGAATTCTGGTATCTTTTCCCAGCTCTGTTTCTGTTTTTTGCCCACTGACCATTTAACTTAAGTAGACAGTCCTAGAAGTAGAGATTTGAAGTCATCTCTGCTCCTTTCCATCAAACTAGCAACAGGTCAGACTTGTCTTCAGAGTCATGCAGTGATTAATTTGGATTGGCAGAATTCTAGTTTCTCAATCTGGCCCTCCCATCCTGATCTTGGATGTGGAACTTTGTATCTGTTATGCAACTAGACTTAAGATGCCAACATCTGCTTGGCTAGCACAAAGCACCAAGCTGAGGCAGTAACTAGCAAAAATTAGAGGTATATCCCTCTGTGTTTCTGATTTTTGAGTTGTCGAAATTTTTCCTTTAAAATGAATGCTATCAATACACAGAAAGAGAGAGTTGTTGTTCCTTGTAGCAATTCTGATGCGCTATTTATTTCCCTTTTCTGCTTATTTGTAGACATCTAGTTTTATCCAGTCCTTTAGAAGCAATCTCTTTTTCAGGAACAGAACTTCATTTGTTAAAGTTCACCTTAGGAGGATGGGTGCTAGGCCATTTACTCATGTCACTATTAAGCTCAGTCAGTACGTTCAATCAGAGTATAACTTGAATTTTGGAAGATAGGTTTAATCAGAAAGTTCTTCTGCCTCGATGCAAACAAAACAAGAGATGGAAAACCCATCCTTCTGTTTGTGCTTGTTCCAGTGGTTAATCACTCTCACTTGTATAAATATGTCTCTTTACTTTAATTGGTTTGGCTTTAGGTTCCATCCAGTGCTTTTACTCGCTTCTGCTAGATTAAAAACCTTTCTGAAATGGGTTTTTCCTTCCCACTGAGTGACTTCTCAATGCTGTTGATATGATGAAAAGATTGAAGTCTTAATGATTCTAACTGTAAAACATTTTCTTCAGCTCCTCTATCCTTTTTATGTCCATCTCCTTCTTGCTCTGTTTTTTTCTGAAACTTCACAAATGTGACCAAATGTAGTGTCTTCAGCATTATAACACTGCTGTCACTTGAAAAGTAGAGTTACTCTTTGGTCTTGGTGTTTCCTTGTTTGCATACCTGTATGCTTTGCTGATCATTATACAGGGTGTCCTACAGCGTAAGTTACTTACACCTTGTTAATCTGTTTCTGTCATGCTTAAGGAAATGCGTAATCAGGATTTTCCAACATGCATTCTGTAAGTATGGCAGGTATTTCTTGATCACAGAGTCTAACTTTGCATTTTGTTATGAAACATGTTATATTTGAATAGACCCAGTTCGGATGTTGTGTCTGGTACTACTGCTTCCTCCTTAGGATTTATTATTTCACCAGTCTTTACCCAGATTTATTTTGTTTTGTGATCATTGATTAAAATATGGAGTGGCACTTGGCATAGTAAGATCCATACCAAAGGAAATCTAAACTGCTGGAAATCCAATCTCAAGGTACCTGTGAACTTGGTGAAAGTAGGAAGTGCACTGGGAATCAACTGCATTTGTTAGCCTGTCCTTCTAAGGTAACCTGAGGAGCTGTGAAATCTCCTGACATGCATGCACCGTAAATGACACTTTTTTCTTTAATGTATTAAAGCTGCTGTTCTCTAGTTAGAAGTCAGCGTGGCATTTTATGCTCTCTTAGCAGAAGTGCAGACAGACACTTAATTTTTGTAACAATTCAGAGGTGGGAGAACTTGGCAGCATTTGTGGATGTGGAGGATAAGAGTACAGACAAAAAAACCTCACCTCACAAACCCACAAAGTGTTGCTTGCTAGAGGCTTCTGAAGGAGGAGGAAGTCAGGCTGTACCGTTACCAGTTGTGTCTGTGGCACACAGCAGAGACTTGTTGATTTTTAAAATTTGCTTAGAACATGTTTCAGATTAAAGTGTCTGATGCTCAGCCTTGTTTATTTTGACTAGGCAAATGGTCAGAAGTAGCTGTTCAGTACTCTTTTAGGGATCAGAAATACATTGATTGTAAACATCTAATGAAATGCAAAAGGTGTTCACTGACCTGCACAAATATTTTGGACCACTACATGCATTTTTTTTGTTTATGTAAGTGATAGGAAGTAGAACCTGCTAATGTTCACAATAATAAAGATGTATGCTGAGAAACAGATAACTGCATGTAAAGATCCAGCTGCACCAAGTCCAGTGGAATTTCTGCTTTAATTTAAAGATGACCAGTATTAAGGGTCAGAGAGAAGTTTTCAACTGAATTGCATGATCCCTGTTATTTAGAGGGAAATCTTTGCAGAGAAAAATGTTAAATAATCCAGTATTGGCAGCATTAGTTAGTTTGGCTTTATCTATATGTGAAAGCAAAATGATGCAGGAGTTTATTTGGTTTTTAATTCTTCTACAGTGTTGCATTTAAATTAATTTTTCTACTCTTGTGCTTCGCTCTTCATCTTGCAGAACTTGCAGGAGTTAAGTATGCAGTCAGAGCTGTAGCTTTGTTTGGACGTGAGCCCTCACGCACGCACTCAGCCTGAGTCTTTCAGTTGAATTTCAGATCTATAAACACTTTCCTGCTCCTATTGCAAAGACATGAGTTTTGGGAAATCAGCTGATCTAAAAGGAACTCAGCAGTCACAAGTTATCGATGAGCTACCAGCCCTTGTAAAGGTGCAGAAGAAGGGCTTGCCATGTGAAGAAATGTGAGGGCTCACGTGGTCATATATGTGGTAACATTTCCAACACTCTGTTGAATGAAGGACACATCTGCTGAATTCAGCAGGTGGTCAGACAGACATGTTGAATTGAGTGATGGGAAATGAAATGTGTGGCATCTCAGAGTTACAGGGAGGCCTCCTGAATGTGTGCCGTGACTGCTAGGGCAAGGGCTGTGATACTAGGATGCTGCATAAGATGTGCATCTTCCGGTAGAGGCTCCTGTGAGCAGAGCCTCACCAAGAGGGGCAGCTTTTGGTGATGAGGCCTCTTTTTTTGGAGAGAATTGAGGCACCCCAAAGCCACAGGAAAAAACGTGGTGTGCCGTTGCCAGGTGTGGATGTCATGACAGCACGGGAGGGGTGAAAGGTGATACAGGCTTGGGCTTTTGCTGTCTGCTATGGAGGAGTACACAAACATCCATAACAGCCTGAAATGTCCATAAGCTGTCTGCTTTATTGCCATTGTTATTCTCTGCTGTGAGACCTACTGAATCCTTGTCCTTGGTGAAGCGGTTTGAGATCTCAGCCAC